GGCCAGCTTTATTCTCACAAAACTCTCCCGAAAGTCCCTGGGACAAAGGGAGATACAATCACTTGTTTTACAAGCACCGTGGAATGCTTGAAAGATGAACAAATACATTGCTTGTGCTGGCAGTGGGCCAGAGGTATAGCTCCTTAGGACTAGAAGCTTTCTTCTGTGGCAGCAGTTCCCAGACAGGTCTTTGCCACCCAGGGACCACTTGTCACTGACCCCCAGAGGTCTGTGGCCTGGTTGGCCCTGCTATAAGGAGGAGAGAGCTGGCTTTCAAGCCACTTGCTCACATGGCATTGGCAATGCCTGGCACTTAAAAACAATGATCAGTGCCACCCCCACCCTGATATAGACAAAATGCCCTCTGTCTGCCAAGCCCTGGCATCATCTGGCCCGTCCCAGCCCCCAGTTCCCAGTTATAGATCCTTCTGGCAATCCAGGACTCCAGCAGGACCCCGGGTGAGAGGACCCTGTGTTGAAGCACAGTGCTCTGTACTGTCTGCATTGCACTCTGGGATCCTGAGCTGGGATCTGTTCCTAAAAGAAATAGCCTGGTTGATGCTGCCAGGGACAGTCGACCGTCAGCAACAGGCTCCAAGCTCACCACAATTGCCTGCCTTGGGTCCTCAAGAGAACATACATCTACCTGCCATTCCAGCCCCCTTTGGATGATCCACCCTTAGCTGACTATACCCAGCCCTATATTTCACCTTCTTGTTATCTACTCCTTCCTAACTTGTATTTTGAGGGCTTTCACCTTTTAGTCTAGCGAGAGAGAATGGTTTGCATTCAAATCCAAGAAAGACCCCAGCAAACCCTGAGGCTTTAGAGGGATGGACAGGAAGCTGGAGAACAGGGTGGATAGATAGGAGGCAGTGGAAGCTTAACAGGAAGGGGCAGAAATGCTCCTCTCAGGCCCCCTGCTGGTGGCCTGTGATCAGGGCACAGCTCCAGAATGGGGTCCTTAGCATAAACCAGGGGCCAGCCACAGGTCCTCTGTCTCTGTCAGGTTGGACAGGGCCTTGCATACAGAGTGGAGAGAGAGAAGCTAAGCTCCCCTGCGGCCCCCACTTGCAGCCCCTGAGATTCTAGCTGATTGCAGAGTCTCTAGCTCTGCAGGCATGCCTGAGCAGCTCATTGTAGCCTCCTGGTGAGCCAGATGGAGGCTCCTCCTGACCTCAGCAGGGGCTGCTCGGAAGCGTTCACAGCCACACGCATCAGCTGGCAGGCCGGGGTTTGAGGTAGCCTCAGACCACTCTCCTAGGAGGGGAACTTGGAGCCCCAACCTTGCAGATTGGTGTTGAGGATCAGGGAGGGGCTGGCGAGGCACCTGCCATGTCCCCATCATGTCGCTCAGAGTGAGGGCAGGACAGGGACTGTCCGTTCCAACCACAGCACCTCTTTTCTTCCAGGATCCTCGTCAATATGGACAACAACATCATTCAGCATTACAGCAACCACGTGGCCTTCCTGCTGGACATGGGCGAGCTGGACGGCAAGATCCAGATCACCTTGAAGGAGCTGTGAGGCCTGAGCCCACGCCTTGGCACCCGGATGGGCCCCACACCGCACAGGACCTCCCCACGGGTCTCAGGGCTGCCACTGGACTGTCTTGCTCGAGTCACAGACCCACCTGTGTCGGATCCAGGAAGGGACCTCGGAGGTCCCCTGATCGGAACCCCATCCAGCTTGAATCCACTCCCCCTCCCCTGACCCAGCATCTGGGTTCCTCCTCACAGTCCCCCGCCGAAGCCCCTGCCCTTCAGAGGGCGAAGGCCTCACTCCCCATGGACACCCTGCCCTACTGGACTCTCCTATCAACACTCCAAGGACTTCCCACCCTGTGGCCAAGTCCCTGGAAGACTTGGTTTTCAGCACAAAGGACTTGGTAAAGACCCGCTCATGGAGATGTCTTTGCTGCCTGCTTCCTCAAGGCAGGCTGGGTGTAAATAGCAGAGCTGACTGGATCAAAGCCACCCCTGGGTAAAACGACTGCCTTGCCACTACTACTGTACACATTTCCTATTTACAGTCTTCATGTATGTTATATATATATTATAAATATATTGTGTGTATATACATATGCAACATTTTATATTTTTCATGGATATGTTTTTATCATTTCAAAGAATGTATGTTTCACATTTCTTGGACTATTTTTTAGTGGCTCTTCAATCATGCATTTTGTACACCTCTAACAACATGATACATGATGTACTTAGTAATAAAGCCTTCTGATGTGCCACTGCACCTGCTGTGGGAGTCTTCCTCTGAAAGGATGGGGTACATGAGGTCTCTGTCCCCCTCCTCCCACCTTCTGCCTCTCCCTCCTCATTCCCCTGTTCCTCTTTCTCCCCCCTCCCCTCTCCCCTCCTTCTCTTGCCTCACGTAGGAAGGGTGGAGGTCAGCACAGACTGGGGGGGGGGGTAGAGGCGACACCCTGCACGGCCGCTGGGTCCAGCAGTGGTCCCATGAGGCTGAGGGTTGCTGACAGATAAAGGCCCAGAAAGGCTCCAAAAGAGCTGAGATGAGGACTTCCCAGGTGGGGCCAGGGTTGCGATTCATGCGACCTAGGCCCTCTGCCAGCTCTGCCCTGCTAGCCAGCCTCCAGGCAGCCTTTTCCTCTGGAGCCAGGCACCTGCCAGCTCCCAAGAGCCACTATGCCCAACTTCCCACTTGTGTGCCAGTGGCATCGTGGGTTTACTGGTGGGAGTATTTAGGCCACAGATATCAATGACTACCAGGAAGCCCTTTGTTTCCTCTAAAGGATGAACAAGTCAGGGTTTCCTCCTTCCCTCCCTCTCCTTCCCCCCGCTTTTTTTTGGTCCAGTCGTGGGGCCTGAACTCTGGGCCTGGGCGCTGTCCCTCAGCTCTTCAGCTCAAGGCTAGCGCTCTACCACTTGAGCCTCATGCATGCAAGGCAAGCACTCTACAACTGAGCCACCTTCCCAGGGCCCCCCCCCACTTTCCATCCCTTCCTCCTTTCCCACGTTCACTGCTACAGTTTGTGTTTCTTCCTATAAAATGTAGGACCTGGCCCAGTGAAGGTAGCTCATACCTGTAATCCTAGCTACTCATTAGGCTGAGATCTGAGGATAGCGGTTCAAATCCAGCCAGGGCAAGAAAGTCCATGAGACTTTTCTTTTTGCTGGTCGTGGGACCTGAATTCCGTGAGACTTTTATCTCCAATAAACCACCAGAAAACTGGAAGTGGCGCTGTGGCTCAAATGGTAGAGCACTTGAGCTGAAGAGCTCAGGGACAGCACTCAGGCCCAGAGCTCAAGCCCCAGGACCTACAAAAAAAAAAAAAAAAAGTAAGACCTAGTATACTCTGCCAGTAGCGATCATCTCCTGAGCATCAGGTTCACCCGTGGGTCTTCAAGGCCAGGCTGACACCCCAGAACAGCCCCAGCTTCAATTCCAGAAGCTCTGCTTTTCACATAGTAGGATTTGTTTGAACAAAACCTGTTTTTGTTTGTTTTGTTTTTAAGTTTGAGCCAGGCACCAGTGGCACATGTCTATAATCCTAGCTACTCAGGAGGCTGAGATCTGAGGATGGCGGTTCAAAGCCAGCCCAGACAGGAAATTCCATGAGACTCATCTCCATTTAATCACCAAAACACCAGAAATGAAACTGTGGCTCAAGTGAAAGCACTAAAAAAAGAAAAAAAACTAGAGAAAAAAAAAAAACCTCAGGGACAGCACCCAGGCCCCGAGTTTGAGCCCTAGTACACACACACACACACACACACACACACACACACACACAGAATTAATTTGAACTATAGACGTCCACATCTCACACGGAGAGATCCAGGGTACAACGATTCCCCAGACTGCCAATGAGTCCACACCTCAGGCAGCCACGAACTCAGCTGGTTTGTTTGCATTGCGCATCGCTCACCCAGGCCCTGGCAGTGTTGGGTCCCGAGCAGACAGAAGCACAAAGTGGTTCTACCTTTAACCCCTGCTGGAGTGGCATGTGAGGAACGCATCTGAGAAAAGCAAGAACTCATTTTAATTGAATATGTTATTTTCACTTTCCTTCTCCCTCCCACCCCAAAGGGAGAGCCAATCAGCAGCCAGTTCTGAGGGGGAGGCTCAGGATGTAGCATTCCCAGAGAAAGTACAGGAGAGGCAGGGCAAGTGCAGGCCTTATGCATCATCCCAGACGTCGTGGGGGTGCTGAGGGCTGGGGAAGGGAGGGGAGCCACACAAGAGAAATTCTCATTTAGAAAAGCGACATCGCCAATGCTGGAGGAGGGGGGTAAGGGGTGGTTGGTTCTATTTCTCAACTCCTTGATCACCTCTTCCTCTGGTGAAGGGGGAAAGATCTGGAAAGCCAGAAGAGATCCATTAAAGTCTGTGTCCAACTTGGACATTGGAGCAGCAGATGGGGTGAGGGTGGGAGGTGGGGAGAGCAGGACCAGCAGAGGAAAGGTCGCAGGGGGAGCCTGCAGGCATGGAGCACGGTGGCCTCCTGGCCCTTTGGGACCAGCTTCCAGGACAAGCTCTGTAGCCTGCAGATCCATAAACTGAGAGGTGCAGGGGAGGGGCATGGGATTCCCATGGCTCCAGGTGAAGACTGAGGCTTGGCTGGGGGCAAGGGGCCCAGGCAATACCCCATGTCTCTGTCACAGCCACCCCTGGAACTTGCTGGCTCTTGGAAATCGAAGAGTGTGGGCATCAGGACAGATGGGTGGGGCACTTGGGGGGGGCATACTCAAGGCCCCAGATCTTCTACCAGGCCTTAGGTTTCTAGACAGGGATTCTGCCACTGGTGGTCTTTGTGATAGAAGGGAGCTCTGCTCCAAGTCTGTATTTCAGCAGCCTCTCAAGACTGCGGAGGGGACTCACCCAGAGCCTTGGCCATAGACAAGGATGGGTGTAGGCTCTGGGAGGCAGGTCAGGACGAGGCTGGGTGGGGGTTGGCGGGTGGGCAAGCGGCCACACTCTCCTGCAGAAAGTCCTGGGGAGCAGGGGCCAGGGTCTGGGGGCTGCCACGCTACACAGCTGGAATCCATTTGTTGTCCTCGTTATAGAGGAAAGACTGCTTCCCTGGGAGCTGCGGCTTGTACGTGGCTGCAGAGAGACAGAGAGAGCATGAAGAGGGGCAGAAGATGGCCCAGGTGCCCAGACTCCAACTTTGCCCCCTCCCCGCCCCCCACTAGCCCCAAACCCTACCTGTGGAGACAGGGGGAGGGGCTGGCTGGTTATATGGCTCATAGCTGGCCAAGGATGGCTTTGAACTATGGCTCTGGCATTAACACTTTTTAACTTGTTCGATTGAATCTGTAAAAGTATTTTCTATGAAATTTTATAACATGGAATTAAGCCATATTCTTTTTCTTTTTTTTAAGTGCCAGGAGGGCTTGAACTCAGGCCCTTGAGCTCTCTCCCTTAGCTTTTTTTACTCAAGGCTGCCATTCTACCACGTGAACCATACCTCCATGTCCAGCTTTTTGCTGGTTAACAAATTGGAGATAAGAGTCTCCCTGACTTTTCCTCCTAGGCTGACTTCAAACCACAATCCTCAGATCTCAGCCTTCTGAGTACTTAGGATTACAGATGTGAACCACCAGTGCCTAGCTAAAGTTATATATATGACTATAACTATAACTATATATATATATATAATATGACTTTATTGTTGTTATTAAAGTGTTGTACAGAAGGGTTACCATGTCACAAGTCAGGTAATGAGTACAATCCTTTTTGGACAATGTCACCCTTTCCTTCGCTTTTCCCATTTCCCCCTCCTGTCCCTGCCCACAAGTTACATAGTTCATGCTCCACATAGTGTCTACTGAATACCATGACTTCATTTGTTCACCTATCCTCTCCCATTTCTGTGTCCCTCTCCCCCCTTTGCCCTCCCTAAAAAGATAAAACC